CAGACAGACAGACAGAAAGATAGATAGATAGCTGCTAGCTAGCTAGATAGATAGATAGATAAATAGTCACGGCGGCTAGCTTACCCTGTACGATGAGCACGTGCGTGACTTCGTCTGCGCCGTAGACGTTCGTCGCCTTGCACGTGTAGTTTCCCGCGTCGCTAGACTCGACCGACGCTATGTACAGCGACCCGTCCTCCTGTACCGTCATCAGCGGGTCTCCTTCCTCCACGTCGTCCCCGCTACAACATGGCGGCGGTTAAAGCAAAGACGTTACAGATAGTGCAGACATTATACAGATAGTACAAACATTACAGATAGTACAGACATTACAGATCTGTAGATCTGTACAGACATTACAGATAGTAGGCCTACAGACATTACAGATCTGTAGATCTGTACAGACATTACAGATAGTACAGACATTACGGATAGATTACAACATGGCCGCTGTTAAAACGAAGAAACTCACATACATTGATGCACATAATATTACAGATAGATTACGTTACGCTAAATACGGTAATCGATACGATACGATTCGATACTATATTATACGATACGATACGATACGTTAGTGATAGTCGACAACGAGTTTCGTTCGTGCGATTTGCACGTCTACTCCATAAGCAAAAAATTACATCGTAATCAAGTTAAAAATTACGTATTAATTAACGTTGTATGTAGTAAACGTACACGAACATATAGTAATGTATGTGCTGCCTGTTCTGCTAGCATCTATGGCAAATACGACATACCCATATATACGCTCTCCTATGACACTATTTGTCATAGGAAGATTCTTCCTATGAGAAATATTGTTGTATGTGTTGTGCGCATCATAGGAGTTTAGGAGCGAACGAAGTTGACTCGCCAATATTTGTCATAGGAAGAATCTTCATATGACAAATAGTGTCATAGCAGAGCGTATTATGCATATGTCGTATTTGTCATAGATGCAAAGCAGAACATGATTGTAATAATGTGTGTGACATGTAGTAAATGTAGTATGTGACATATATGTGACATATATGTGACATATATGTGACATATATGTGACATGTATGTGACATATGTATGTGACAAGTAGTACATGTAGGTATGGCAGCGTAAACGTTACGGCGTGGAGTCGTTCACTTACTTGGCCATCCACTCGATCTGCGGCGTCGGGAAGCCGACCGGTTGGCATGGCAACGTGAGGCCGTCTTTCCACTTAGTGACGAACTGCTGGTTGAACGACGCGATTCGCGCTGCAACTGAACGACAGGGGGCGCTTTTAAGCAGCGCTCGACAGAGCCGTATATAGAGATGTATACTCCTTATAGAGATGGATATATAGATATATAGAGATATATGAGATAGATATATAGAGATATAGAGATATATGACATATATGAGATGGATATATAGATATATAGAGATATATGAGATAGATATATAGAGATATATATCTCTATATACGGCTCTGGCGCTCGAGAAACACAGACTGAGACAGACACAGGAGCAACGAGGCAAAAACAGAACGAGACGACTATAACGAGAAGGGTTGCGAGCGAAATGAGATAAGGAGAGGTGGAGTGAGACCAGGGTGGAATCGAAGAGAGAAACGGAGACGACGCTAACAGACGACGTCTGCTTACTGTCGTTGCTAGGCGACGCCGTGACGCTTCTCGTCGCCTCGCCCTCGCCGACGACAGTCGATGACGTCACGCTGAACGCGTAGTCGTAGTTCTGCTGCAGGTCCTTGATCACGTGACTCAGCTGCTCGGCCGAAACCATGATCTCCTCCTTCCTCTGTGTGCCGGCGGGAGAAGGAAGAGAAGACACACACGCCGTCAGCTCGACAAGGCATCGCTAGGATCACAAACGCATGCGTATACTAGTCATGTCTATTGTATATAGTCATGCTAGTATGGGGTGCGTTTGTGTTGCGTTTGTGTTGGGCTGCTTAGTATCCACAGACTCGGGAATGTATCGCGAGATTCGAGTAATTTGTATAATTTCGGCCGCCATCTTGTTTTTTTTCTGTTTTGATCGTGAATTCTCCTGTATTCTTTTTCCCTAGTTTCTTTCCACCTTTTTATATATTACTTCTATTATTTTATCTTTTACCTTTATTTTATATTATTGCACTATTATATTATGATTACCGATAATTTATTCTATATTTGGCTGATGTGCGGCTGGTTGTGTTGCAATGGTTAGGCGCTATTTCGGTAAAGAGACGCACACATCGTAGAAATGTACGTTTATCGTGCGCTCATACGTTTTACAAAGAGTTTCAGAACTACACGCGGGGAAATATCACACCGCGTTCAGCATAGATATCTATATACACTATTATATTATAATTATAGTAATTGTAGTTATAATTATGATTATAATAACGTATTATAGGATATCTATTGTATTCGTCACATATTTGATCGCATCGTATCACGTCATAGTGATCCTTTGATCCATTTGTCTAAAAACGACGATATATGCTGGTGATGTTTTCGTATGTACATTTTATAAGAGGGGTATAGTTAATATTCGTAAAGTTTCTACCGACGTTGAATGTGTACAGATAAGCATTTTATTACAGGGAGGCAATGTTAGTAAATAATTCTACTAGTCTTAAATGTACAATTATTCATCTAATTAGCAAATTTCAATTAGTGCGGTTATTCAGCCATATGAGCCCCGTAGACAAGCGTGAGCTCAACATTTACATAATCACGTAATTATCTTTGCGTAATTAATTTTAATAAAGACTTTGTTAATCACACTATGTCAACGACAGCTGAATGGGGGTGATCAGGTGCAGATATTCAATAGAATACATTAAATGCAAACAGCGAGCGATAAATAGAGCAAACCGAAAGGACGACAACAATACGCACGCGCAATAGAGAGATGACGAGGCATGGCGAGGGAAAACAGTTGGCAGGGGCAGTGTTCGGAAAATACGAATTTAGAGCGGGGAAAAAACAAACGAATTGCACCTGGGTTCAGTCGCATTGTTCCTTATTACGATCACCGACTTTACCAACATTACCGTCTTTGTCACTCTCACCGCCAACAATAACAACAATAAAAACAAAAACAAGAACAAGAACAAGAACACGAAACAAGACAACAACAACAACGACGACGATAATGATAAAAACGACGACGATGAAAACAATTAAAACAAGAACAGCAACAACAAATGAGCAGCAGTAGCAGCAGCAACAACAACAATAACATCACAATCAACGGCAACAACAATCAACGGCAACAACAAAAACAATACAAAAACATCACTGTCACCACTGCCACCACTGTCATCCTACTCTTTCTCTTTTCCGACTCCCATCCTGCACATCCTCGTCCCCCCTCTACCCTCACCATCACAGCAGCAGCAGCAGCAGCAGCAGCAGCAGCAGCAGCAGCATAATCATCAACAACAAAATTATAATCACATGCGCATTCATTAATGAAGCACAGCTCGCCAAAACAACAACAATAATCACGCATTCGACGCATTCGGGTCTATGCAAACTGCTATGGCAATTAATGCAGCAATCCCCCGATTATTTTCAAAATGCAAAAAGAGAAGAAGAAAAAGCATCAACGCGGGGTTTGCAAACTACAATCATTCCACACGCACGCGCCATCCATCCGTGGGGAAGAGTGCCCACGTGGATTTCCACGCCTCACACCTATCAGCGTGCCAACTCGAATCGGAAGTAGAAATGAAGCCATCAATCATGCACCATCGTCTGCTGCCGAATCTATGCTAATTTAATACTCGATTGCACACAGGTAAAAAAACACAGCCAGCTCAGATGGCGTTCATATCTACCATTGACACCTGTATACATCCCAATTACATATATATATATAATTACATTTAAAAAACACACACGCACAGGCAAATCACGCGGGTTAAATTAACAGACGAACGATGGATGCTATGCGTGAAACATGCTGCGTGCTATCGGAGCGCTCACCAATCGCTTCGTCTTCGAAATTCTAGAGCTTCTCCTCTATACGGGAAAAAATAAAGTGTGCAAACGTGTCGTGAGGTGAGTGGCCGCCAAAGGTCGGACGAAGCGTTGCGACGTACATCGTATATCGTTCAGTCGTAAGAATTGTAAGGCGTCGTAACTAAAGCCGATACACGCACCGCGATATGCAGAGTTTATTACGGGGCATACGGTCGTACGGACCTCTACGAATGCACGGCCGTAGTCCGAGCAAGTTCCTAGCGGAGGGCAGGACAGGGTGTGCGTGAATTGTCGTGTCTCTGCTAAATAGTGACGAAAGAGGAAGCACAGCTCTCAGTCAACGTGCGTGGCATGGCAGAGAGCGGGTGGTGTGGTGGCGAATGGGGTGAGGGGTGTGGTGGTTGTGTGGGTAGCGAGAGCGGTGTGGTGGTGCGAGACGAAGGCCGCACGGATCTTGACCTTACAATGACGATTTACATCCGTTATCAGTGTTATTAAATTTCATTATCGGCTTTTCTTTCGGTTTACCTCATAACATAGAGATAGCTTCCCCCCGTGGTAGCTAACCCTGTGGGGGGCTTAAGCTTTGCCTCCCGTCGAAAGTAGCTCCCCGTGGTAACTCCCTCCGTGTAGCTTTCCCCTGGTACTTTCCCCCGTGATAGCTTCCCCCTGGGTAGCTTCCCCCCGTGGTACTTCGTCCCCCTGGTAGCTTCCCCCGTGTAGCTTCC